CCCACTCCTCCCGCCCTTCTTGCCCCCACTTTTCCAACTTTCTACCTTTCATCCCTCATTACTTCTCTCCAGATTGTTTTTCAAGAAGTATTTATCTTCTGGCTGCCAAGGTGGAAGGAAAACCTGGGCTTCAGTCCAGGCCCATGGATTACCTGTTCAATTTTGCAATTACCCTGCTAGGATTAAGAGGTTAGGCAGGTGCTTGGGCTGATGAAGCTCCAACCTTTGGTAACTGAGTTCCTTCCCTCTGATATTTGGGTCTGGTAACTATGCTCCATCCCTCCTTCTCTGAGATGTGAGAGCCTAGTGTGCAGAGCCATATTATGTAGATTCTCTTACAAATAAACAGGCCGTAATGTTAAGAAATACTACCATTTTTTTCATACTTTTGCTGATTGCTTGATTTATTTATACCTGGTCAGTGATTCTGCAAGTCTTGGAAATGGTACTCCTTTTTAAACTGAGTTAAGGGTCTACCTAGCTCTCTCTGCCCTTGATCTGTCTTGTGATAGCTTGCCATCTTCCCTTTCAGATTTCTCTGGCTGTAGTTTTCCATTTATGCTTTTAAACTTTGCTGTTACTGTGACAACAAGGAAGCAGCTGAAGCGATTTCATGTCTCCAACGCACCCACTCAAAAGTTGTTTTATATGATGTACTGTTCGAAGTCTTATGTGAGATGAGGTGGTGTATGTCAGCCGAAGGGGAATGCTGAAACAGGTGTTTGTCACCAATCTGCCTATCTTCCGCTCCCCCCCCCCCCCCCCCCCCCCCCCAAAAGTCTTTCCTCTTCCACTCCATGACCCCCAACCCCAACTGCCCGCAACACAAATTGAAATCACTGCCTTCTTTGTGTATACTGGCTTTGTCTGACCATGAAATTTGAGAAAACGTTCTCTCCAACTTTACTCTGATTTTTATTTGTCTCAGTTGAAGTTTCATCATCATGTAGTTGAGTATGGCCAGATCTCCTTTTCCAAGCTACTATCCTACCCCCCACTCTCTCCAAATAAAAAAACCTGTGTTCTGTTTGAAGATTTCATGGAAGTGGAAGTTCACTTTTTTATTTCCTGTTTAGTTAACCAATCCTTGACGACTACAGAAAATGCATGTATTTGTAACCTTACCTAGAATTGTATGGTTTGATGGTACAGAACTTGAGTATTGTTGACAAAAGGCATATTTTGTCAAAGCTTTTTGACTTGCACTCATCAGGACCATGTGCAAGGAATAGCAATGTACAGTACAGACAAATCTATTATACTGCACAAGAAGAGACTGGCAAACAGTGAGCAAAGTGGACTACCTGCATGGTTGATAACTTTCTACATCACTAACTGGTTGTTACTTTTCAGATGTCCTGCTGAGGATGGATGCTGCCAAGTTCCTGCAATTTTTAAAAAAATTATTCAAAATAAAGTAACTATTGAATGTTTCCCATATGTTTCATGACTGCAAGTACCAATGTGCCAGATTTTACTCTTGGTTGGTCAAACTGCCCTGTGACCTTCATCTTAGAGTAAAATAATGTGTTGTTGGTGATTTTGCTGAATGGTATCTTACGGTCCTTGAAATAATTCTCTTATGCTGGAAATCACAAAGGAAGAATGATTGAACTTTTCAATAGTTATCTCTCTTTCAAAGCTACTGACCTGAAACACTGTATCGACTCTGACTCCAGCATCTGCAGTTATTGCTATCTCCAACCTGAAACGTTTACTTATCTCTTCCTCCACAGGGTGCTGTCTGACCCAAATGTGTTCTAGAATTTTCTACTTTAAGTAAAATAGCAGCCTATTTCAGTTGCAATCTTAATCTGGCTTTAATGATTTTAAGACAGTCCTCTATAAACGAGTGTATAGACAAGCCTTTTTTTATATTTTGAATTCATTGGTTTAATATTATGACTAATGTTGCATGGCTATTCTTCATTTGTCTTGTGGATTTCAACTTCAGTTCTTTAACCTTTTCAACTATTCGCTGAGACATTTTAAAAGCTCGTTGGAAATTAATTTGAATTCATGTCATATAGCCATGTTTTGCAACTGATGGACCATTGTAAGCAGTTTATAACTTCACTGGTCTCTATCCTCTTGGGTAACAATTTAGACATGTCTCCAGTTTTCAAAGTCCAGACTAAACCAGTACACATGTTGCTATTCCGATTTATTTTTTGCTCTGCCCATAGTGTAACTTTTAAAATGACAAATTGTGGGAATTAAAATAACGGAGGTTGTAATTATTTACATTGCAAGCTGCTCTTTCTCTTTTCAGTGGCCTTGTGTTTCAGTAGCAGAGTTTTATTAGCTTTGAATCTAGGCTCTGCATGAAAATACTCATTCTCCACAAATATTAAAATGATCCCCAGGAAAGCCATGTTGGATTATATGACCAGATTCACAACACAGGGAATTATCTATTAATGCGGCTGAAATTGCAACCTGGAAGCTTGAACCAAGCTCCAGTAGCTTTACTATGTCGAATATATAAAAAATTTTAATTTTGTCATGATGAAAGATAACTTGCTCGAAGTATATGCTTCATATTATTGCTGATAATAGACTGTTGATAGACTTTTTATCATAAGCCTGGCTGAGGACTTTATAATTGGTTTTAAAATTTATATGTATCATTTTTCCATGGCCTTGGGTAAAAACATGTAGGTACATTGATAATCTGTTCTCTAAGACTGTCATGGGCTCTTAGATTGCATGGTAATGGGTATAGCGGAAAAATTTCATATGTTTGTCGGAATATTGAGTATATTGAATATTGAAACTTCAGTTCCTTTGTGTTTTCTCAATTCTTACTTTGTGGCTCTTGTCCAAAAGTGTCCAATAGTGCCAGTTTGTTGATTTCATGTTTAACAAGTGGAAACTTTCTGTAATCTAGCTTTCACTTAATGGAGAGGAGAAGACACGGAAGTCTGGCTTAAACTGAAATCCTGGCACTTTTCCTCGCTGACAGTACTGTGGTTGCACCTGTACACATGGACTGCAGTGACAAGCCAGCGCCACCATCTTGAGGGCATCTTTAGGGATGTACAACAAAATACTGGTTCATCTTGAGATGCTCACCCCATCAATGAGTACAAAAGGAATTACAAAAATACCACTCTGCTAAACGTGATTTGTCTCCAACACTTTCATAGAATTGAAAAGTTGCTGGGAAGGAGTAGGTGGTACAACAGGTTAAAATGCAATCCAGACTGATTCATAGGGAGTGGGGGATCCTTGGAAATCTCTGCCCCGAAGGGTTTGCTGGTGTAGTTATTGAGAGAATTCAAGATAGATCAATAGATCTCTGTTATTAAATATATCAAGGGATATGGTGTTATTGCACAAAAGATCTTTTAATAAGAAGATCAGCCACGATCACACTGAATGGCAGAGCACAGGTCAAAGATTCCTGCTCCTATTTCATTCATTTTATACGAAAAGTAGCTTGAAAAGTGCAAAAATAGACATGACCATGTTTAGACTGCAGTGAAAATTTTAAAAAGTTCATGATTGGTCCAGAGCTGTTGGAAGCACCACATGATGGCAAGTTGTACTGCTGATGTTTATTTAATACACATTTATTTTAAAATTAACAAAATCTGAAATCCTGGCACATCCTCCCTAAAAGCACCATGTTTGTATCTATAACCACATATTCCTCAGTGACAAAAAGTGGTATAAATCAGAGCAAAGCAACATGTATATAGTTTCATAAAGCATTTATTCTAAAACAATTTTCTTCAGAAAGCTGAGTCCATCCGCATGAACAAGTTCATGATGGGGTCTCTGTTAGATTCAACCTGTAGCTGGTACAGTAAAATGGCAGCCTGAAGACAGGACTCCAAACTAGACACATGCTGTGTTCAATCAGCCTTCACAGTTCATCATAACACTCACTTTACTGCAGGAAGCAATCTAGAGTACCAGAAACCTCTGCATGTAAACAACTTCAGCAACATATCCTTGCTGAACACTTAACACTTGATTTAATTAGGTTCAGAACATGGAGTCATGTATTTTTGTCTCTTGCAGTCGGGTGAATGTAGGAAGGCAAAGATGTCAGAATAGTATTATCTTCCAAAAGAAAACATTTGTGCCTTCCTTTGCCTTACCAAAAGCCTACATAGAATTTCCAATAATGTACTGAATGCTGAATTTTTATCCTAAAAATGAAATTGTCTAATCTTTCAAATTGTTAAATATGAAGAATGCAGCAAAGCAGAAATTTAATCAGAAGAATAAGATTCTGTGAATAAGAGGATCATAGTACCAAATTCCTTATGAATTGAAACTGAAATCTGTCACTTACACATGTCAAGGAAGCTGTATGTCAGGTTTGAATGTTGTTCTCTCAGTAGTGGTCTGTTTGCGTATACATTGACTGCCAGGATTAAATTCACAGTTGATTTGTACAGAGGCTGCAGTCTTTATACATGATGGGAGCACACTTTTCTGTGAATGACCTCCAAGACCAACAAAAGGGGAAAAACTCCTCAAGCAGGCACCAAATAAGTTTGTTGACCAACAACAAATATTATGCATTTAAGGTTAGAGTTTCTGTAGTTGTCATGTGTTTTTGTTTTGTTTTTTTTTTGGACATATGGATCTCAGTGCTGTGACAAGTTGTGATAGATAAATCTCTGTGCTATTAATTCCTAATGATTTTTGTGTAATTTTGTGCTTTTGAGGTGATGGATGCGAAGAAGGTTTGATGCCACAAATGCTGTCTGTCCTCTAGGCTGCTCACTGTCCAGTTAGCCATACTGGAGTTACGTGTATGCATATGGCAAATGATGGAATGAAGTAAATTAAGCTATGGTGCCCAGTACTGATGAACATTTTCTTTCAACATGCTTTTGGGGTTGTGCATCCTATGGCTTTAGCCAGGGGACAGTTGTAAAACTATCTTGCCAAGTTCAGGCTCTGTAAGGATGTAGCTGCAATATCTGGGCTGAAATTTGAGTGCTGCACTGTTGGAAATTGGTGAAACGATTGAATGAAGTTCTAACTGCCCTCGTGACAGTCAATTCTAACATCAACAGGGGTGTTCGTTGGCCGATATTCATCCACCTGGCTGCATCTCTTTCTAAAAAAAAAACTAGTCGTAATCATTTTTTTAAGGCCTTGCTTTTACATTTCTTTCGAAATGTAGTCATTGCTGTATTGTAAGTATTTAAATTGTTGTAATGTGTATTTTGTAATGAAGGATGTTGTAGAAACCCATGTTGATATCCAGTGCCCATGGAACTGCATCTGAGACTTCTGAAGAAATGGGGACAAGGGTTCTGGAATGGAGCAAGGAAGGAGAAACTATTCGAGTCAGGTTCTGCAAGGTGTGTTCTTGATTGGTTTGCTTGCATCTCTGATGCCATTTAATATTTCTTTTGCAGGTCGCATTTACTTCTTCAATCATATAACTAATCGGAGTCAATGGGAGCGTCCAAAAGCTGGGGGGAATTACAATTCTGTTGAGCCTGACAAAGTTCGCTGTTCCCACCTGTTAGTGAAGCACAACCAGTCACGCAGGCCTTCTTCATGGAGACAGGAGGAGATCACACGCAGCAAAGAGGAGGCACTAGAGACATTAAATGGTAAGCTGATAACAAATGCACACCTCAGCAAGAGCACAAAAGCCCCTGTTTGTACTGTTAAGATGTCTTTATGGGTGCAAAAGAGGAGAGCATAAATGTGTTTGAAATAATTGCAGAGGCCGGTGTCTCGTGACCAAGTCACCCTTTATTTACATGTGCGCGTTACTTGGGCTCTGACCAGCCAGCTCTGAGTCAGTTATACAACTGAGGAGACCTTCTGAATCTCCCATTTATATCTGTCAGCCAGGGCTCCCTGATTGCCTCAGGTTAACAGCCCCAGTCAAGGACCTCATAATCAATGACACTCACCTGGCCCAATTTGTGCTCAGCTTGGTTCAGAACATTTTTTTGAGGTTTTATGACAAAAGCAAATTTTTGTGGAAATGTCAATGGACTAGTATGTCACAAACCCCTTGGCCCAAGCTGGTTGAGTGAGCTACCCTGAAGAATAAATCAGTGTTGCTCTGCAACTAGGCACATGGAAGGTGTTTGCAAACTCTTGGGGATGATTGATCTTCTAATGCTCTTCATCCCCCTGCCCTCAGTAAAATTCTTGGTATTTGCAAGATCCCCAGTATGTTGATGCTAATGAAGTAAGGAGCTTGCTACATGTGATTCTAGGTGAAGCATTGGATTCATCAATGGTGTGATTTACGTTGTCCTGTTGATTGAGTGCTGTCTGCTTTTCCTTTGTTTTAATATTTCAGAGGAGACTTTTTGCCTTGGAATTGATTCAACATTACAGACATAATAGACCATCTAGTTTCTCTCCTAAAATGTACCAATGTTCTTACATTAAAGATCTGACAGGCAGAAGTGTTTATTCCTGCCATACACAGGTACTAGTAATTTTGGCATAGCATGAACCCTTTTGTAAACTAGTGGGAAAGAAAATGTTTTTGTGCGTCATACACCTAGAGGCAAAGTAGAAATGCACAGGTTAATATCAGAATAGATGAAGAAAATTTGGGCTCAGACATTTTATTCTTTTGTCAGGAACTGAAGTCTATCTTTAGTGAATATCTTTAGATGTAATTTCTGTTCTCATTTGCTGCCTGACCTCCGTATTTCCAAGAATTCTATTCTAATTGCACAGAATGCTTGGGCGATTACTTATTTTGAGTTAAACCTTTCTGAATGAGTTGATGGAGGTTGAATGGATCATGATTGGAAATATTTGGGTGCGAGTGCACTGGCACAATAGTGTTGAACTTCTCACATGCCAAGTTGTTGATTTCGATAATGCTATCTGGAGGAACAGTAGTGTGCAGACTGGGCACTTGCAAATAATATGCCTTTTGTCATGGATACTAAGTTCATGGCAAGGTATGGACTAATGTGGGCATGCCAGCGGTCAATCTGAGACTTGAGAGATTTGTATCTCCACTGGAGTTTTTATGTTTCTCCTTATTCGAGTTATATTCGATACAGAGTAACTAAACGCTAGCACCTATCAGTTTACATGTTGATGTCCTGCACCATCATACCTCATCTTTAAGAAAGAGTTACTGAAACCTGACAGTGGATTTGGGGATACAACATGAAATAGTTGGTGTATGCCTGAGTTTCTTTCCTTACAAGCTGCTGGGTACACTCCAGTTACCTTCCGTGCTTTTCATAAATATTAATATTCCAATCTTTCAACCTATTTTAATCTAGCATCATGGAGATAATATTTTGGAGTAAAAATCATATTCGGGTTAAAAGTTAGTTGAATACTCCCTCATCTCAGTTACTGCAAGGATGACATTTAACTGACTGGTCAGGTGTGTAAGAAAAGTGTTTTTGTTTTCATAAATTGTCTTCATGTTCTTAACTGGTTCAGACATTTCACATGATCTGTATACATCCAAAAAAAGTTGATTTGATTGTAAACTATTCTGTTAACCTCTTTTTCTTAAGAATACATCCAAATGATCAAATCTGGAGATGCAACATTTGAACATTTAGCATCCAAATACAGTGATTGCAGCTCGGCAAAGGAAGGGGGAGATCTGGGCTATTTTGGCAAAGGTAAGATGTGATCCATTCATCACTATCAAAGCCAGGCTACTTTTTTAAAAGTTTTTTTTTTTTTTTTTGTTTTTTCTTTCAGTTGTACTGTTGAGCAGATACCAGTGGGTTAAGTGTTCTATCAGCGTGATTACTGTAATCATCTTAACACTAGATTCCAAATCAGGAGCATCAGCATCTAGGATGGTGTTTTCTCAAATGTGATTGGCCTTTAACCACGTCCACCAACCTCCTATCTTGAATAGTCGAAAACCCCTCCTCAGTTTCTAACACCAGTAAAGTGACATGATAATTACATTATCACTAAATTTAGAGTGAACTGGCTGCTACCTTTTTCCTTAAGTAGAGGTTTAAAATACAATAAGCTTATTACAGCTAACTTCTTTGGTCTTGATTATGATGACACTGTTGAGGAATCTATGGGCTCATTAATGTGGAAGGAATGGATTACTGCGTTTTTACTATTCTGGTACCATGAAAAAAGTTGGTTTGTGTGTCTTTCATGTCCTTTGAGTCATAGAGCTGTACAGCACGGAAACAGACCTTCGGTCCAACTTGTCCATGGTGACCAGATATCCTAAATTAATCAAGTCCTATTTGCCAGCATTTGGCCCATATCCCTCTAAACCATTTCTATTCATGTACCCATCCAGATGACCTTTTAAATGTCTAATTATACCAGCTTCTACCACTTCCTCTGGCAGCTCATTTCATACACGCCTCACCCTCTGTGTGATATGCACTTGATGCTGCAATGCAGGCAAAATCATCAGACCTGTTTGCACGTCAGGACCTAGAAGTGTAAAATGATTGCATTTTAGTGTTTTGGGTTTTATGTTGGCCCAGCCAATTATGCTTTTGGTAGTTGAAGCAGTTAAGTTTATTTAATCCTGCCTCTTTGCCCAACACTGCCCCATCCTCCCTCTCGTACACATGCACCCAAACACAATGCACACTTCTCCCCTACGGTGCTGTGAGTCCCTCCTGTGCTGCCTGGTTGAAATTGATTTCTGCTCTCTGCCTCCCCTTCACCCCCATCCCTAAATAGGTTGCAACAATTGAAAAGACTACAAATCCATAATAGTATTGTCGCATACCACTACCACCTCTCAGCTACTCCATGTCATTAACTTGTCAGGCAGCATACCTGATGTGCAATAATGGATAAGCAGAAATTTTGTCCAATTAGATATTGGGAGAGTGAAGCCAATGTCTTTGCTCTCCCCTCCAAACTGTTTGCTGGTTGCTGACTGTCTCTTCCAGCAAATGAAGTTTGACCTAGATTGTTCACAGCCTTTGTCACATTTGACCATAAGTTAAGGTTCAATTACAACTGAGCCAGCACATGCTACAGAGATGGAAATGGGCAGTATTATTATTGTCTTACTCCTCCTGTCCTCAGCTCACTTGCCTTGGCTGCTGGTTAAGCTGTGCCTCAGTTTTAAAAATCTCATTTGTTTCCAAACCTTTCCTAGCCTCGTTGACTCACACCTCTGTAAGCTCTCTCGGCCCCACAACCTGCCAAGATATCTGTACTTCTGTACTTTTGGCCTCTTAAGCAAACATATATGTTGGTTATATTTTTATTTTTGAGAGAAAGTGCAGTGTTTTTTATGCAAGTAAGGATGTTTGTGCAGAACTTTAGAACTGGGCTTCTCAAAGTGGAGTTTGCAAGCTGAGAGGCAGTAATTGTCACTGTGGAGCTCTGACCAATTTACAACAGCTGTCTTACTCTCCAGAACGCTTCACTGAAGGGTTGTGACAATTTTCAAGCCTTGAAATGAGGTCAAAGCAAGAGTAAGTTTGGGAAGTGCTGCCTTAGATCTTGCTGTGTTTATACTTTTTAATATGAAAGGCTCACAGCTGGAAAAGGCATACATTGTCTATTCTGCATTTATTTATGTCTTTGCTTGTATTACAGGCCAAATGCAGAGACCATTTGAAGAAGCCACATACGCACTGAAAATTGGAGAGATGAGTAACCCAGTATTTACAGATTCTGGTATTCATATCATCCTCCGCACTGCTTAAAGTGCCTCCTTTTGTTTTGTCTTTGCAAAGTGAATAACAGCCACTATTGAAGACCCTGGTGAAAACCACTCACTTCACAGTCTAATAAATATCTTGTTCTCCCCAGTATTTAATAACTTTGTCTTTAGCCGTTGTCCAACGCTCTTGCAGGCACTTGAGACAGAGGGAAAGAACTGGTCTTAATAGTTATAGAAACAGAATGTTTAAAATATCACTGTCTCTTCACAGCAGCCCAACTATCAGTTCAGTGTATAGGATGACATGCAGTTAGTGCCAGACTGAGCTGTAATTGCTTTTACACTGTTGTAGCGCTTCTGCTATGCATTGTGTTAAAAGAGACTGTTTGAATTTTATTGGAGTAACGCAGGCATAATTGCAACAAAATTAATGTTTATTTTCCCAATGCAGAGAACTTTTGGGATTGATTATCATTTCAGATCTTCATTCAGCATTGCTTGACTTGTTATCAGATTACACTAATACACAAGCTGTTTGGTCGTATAACTGTTTGAATTCTTATGGTGGTAGTAGCATTCATTAAAACAGGTTGGTAGTTAGCAGCAGTGCCCACCACCTCCTTCAGAAAAAGTGCATAAGCCCTCAGCATGTAGGCAGTGTTTTAGATCACCCTAATCTTTGGTTGCTGACCTCTTTGATTCACAACAGTTCAAATCACCTGTTTGACAGCAGTTCTGTTTGTAAGTGCATTTTTCCACTGATCGTTCCTTCCACAAGGTACTGCTGGAAACAACCCTGAGAAATAATTGTCAAGATCTGAACTACTGGTGAGAGAGAATATGAACCGAATAACTTTGTTCCTTTCTATTGCTTAAGGTTCCTTCCAGCTGGTATACTTGTGTTTTTTCTTTTCAACGGTTCAAAGTGCACTGAAGGTGCACTCAACTGCAAAAAGAAACTGAGGTTATGGGAAATGTAAGGTTATTATTTGTCTGGCTTTAATTCAAAATATTAAAGAGATTCTCCACAATATATCTTGAGTTTGCAGTTTGTTGCTTGAAGTAGTTGTTTTTGCCTTGGTCTGTCTTAGGAAGTTTTAGGTGGGCAATAGCAAGTGTGGTACAGTTAGTTTTCAGTATCCCTGGAGGAGGAGAACATGAAGGCCCTCCATTTTTGACTTCTGGTCCCTGAAGACAGAATTTGCCTAAGCTTGCATTTCGAACAAGGGCAATGTCACAATAAGCTGTGATACCCTCCATAATGGATAATATAGTTGAGGAAATGGTGTATGAGTAATTTCATTGGACTAGTGGTCCAGAGATCCAGGTTAATGCTTTGGGGACACCGTTTCACATTTTCTGAAACATTCAATTAATAAAATCCACAACTAAAGCTAGTCTTAATACTGACAAAAAGGCTTTCAATGATTATTGTAAAAACCCATCTGGTTTCCTAAATGCCGTTTGGGGAAGAAAATCTCCAATCTTACGTGGGCTGGCCTAGATACAAGTCCAGACCCATTGCAATGTGGTTGATTCTTAACTATTTGAAATAAAGTGGCAACCACTCAGGTCAGTGACAATTAGAGATCGGCAACAGATGCTGGTCTTGCCAGTGACAGCCACAACTCACGAAAGAATGAGTTGAAAATCCTGATGCTTTTTATAAAAAAAATGAAGACACTGGAGAAAATGACTTAAAATGCGAAAAGTTAGCAAGAACTGCAATAATGATTTGATGAGCTTGGTAACTTTTTTGTCATTTTGTTCTAAGGAGTAAATATATTGACTGTTTTGTATTACCATTAGACCTAGCTAGCAAGAGAAATCTCAAAGGATACTAAAAAGTACTGAGTATCTATTTCCTCCTCCTACTTATTTAAATATTCCCATTTATTGGAGTGAGTAGTGGAGTTTTTACATTATTTTAATGTTGAAGCTCTCTTTAAAATTACATCTCTGCAAAGGGGAGGGCTATCACAGCAGTTCCAAGGGCTCGGCTTGACCCATCAACCTTGCCCAAATAGATTCCATTGCTGCGGCTGAAGTAAGGTCCTTGACTCACTTTGATGCTTCATCCTGAGCTGCTTTCTCCATGACAATTTTGGTCACTACTGGTTTTCCATTGCTATCTACTTGGGCAGGGCAAGAGGCAGGTCTCAAGGCAACATTAAGCAGAATAGGCATTGAACCCAAGCTGTTGACATTATTCTGAAAGAAGTGTACAGTCCTATTGCAAACATGACATTGGTTCAGCTTGTGCATGTACCTCAGCAATCGTGTAAGCTTTTAACTCAACTCACTTACATTGCTCGGAGATTTGGGTCTTAAACCACTACCTAATGGTGTGTATTGCAGTGAGTAACTCACTGCCTGACTCCCCAAAGCCTGCCCACTATCTCCAAGGCCCAAGTCGGGAGTGTGGCTGAGTACTCCTTGTTTGCTGGATGGGTGCAGCTCCAACAACACTCAACTTGATACCACCCAGGACAAAGGAGCCTGCTTGATTAGCACCACATCCACTCCCTCCACCGTAACAACAGTGTGTATTGTCTACAAGATGCGCTGAAGAAATTCACCAACGATCCTCAGTCAGCACCTTCCAAATTCAAACTTCTATCTGGAAGGACAAGGGCAGAAAATACATGGAAACACCACCCTCTGCAAGTTCCCCTCTGAGCCACTCGCCATCCTGACTTGGAAATATATCACTGTTCCTTAGGTGTCACTGGATCCCGATCCTGGAATTCCCTACCTAACAGTACTGTAATCTCCACAGGCTGCAGCGGTTCAAGAAGGCAGCTCATCGCCACCTTCTCAAGGGCATCTACAGATGGGTAATAAATGCTGCCAGCCAGCAACACCCACATTTCATGAGAATAAGAAAAATGGTTTGTCTTCCTTTGTTAACAGGTTTAAAACCTATCCCTTGTTTGCAGGCTATCCCCTCCTCTGCACACCCTGCTTGCAGGGTCTTTATCTCTCATACCCCTCACTAAAGGTTTCTTATTCCTCCAACCTTCCTTGCAAATTCATTTTGCTGTCTGAATACCCTTCCACCTCATACTTTCTCCTGCCTCCTTTAGCCCGAGCTCTCCCTTTCTGGTCTTTCCCCTCAAATGTCTTGCGTCCACCACCCCTACTCCTCTTGACGCCCTCCTAGACCTTTCTATAGTTGTCTCCTCCTCTTGTCAACACCCCACCCTTGACCGAGCAGATGGTAACCCCACTCTGGCAGAAGGAACCCTTTGTAGCCAAAGCTGTCTCTTGGAATAAAAGCAGGGAGGCAATGCAGGCCAGGGACACTGGCTCCATTTCAGCCTCAGGTGACTGTCTATGTGGAGTTTGCACTTTCTCCCCAGTGTGGGTTTCCTCCCACAGTTTAAAGATGTGCAGGTTAGATGGATTGGCCATGCTAAATTGTCCATAATGTCTGGTGATGTGCAGGCTGTGTGGATTAGCTATGGGAAATGCAGGGTTACAGGGATAGGGTAGGGAGTTGGGTCTGGGTGTGACGCTCTTGTCAGGTGTGGACTCAATGTGCCAAATGGGCTGCTTCCATGCTGTAGGGACTCTGAAATTTTATGTATAACCCACAGTACTGCATACAATTCTAGTCATTATCCTACTGGATGGATACAGTTACACTAGAGAGAGTATAGAAGAGATTTACAAGGATATTGTGAGGAGTGCAGAAATCTAGCTATGAGGAATGATTGGAAAAGCTGGCATTATTTGAACCAGAAGGGGTTGAACTATAAACGTCAAGAACTTAGTGTGAATCAAAAGCACTATTTTTCCTTAACACTGAATTGAGTAATCGTAGTCATACAGCACGGAAACAGACCCTTCAGTCCAACCAGTCTGGGCTGACCATAATTCCAAACTAGACTAGTCCTACCTGTCTGTACTTGGCCCATATCCCTCCAGCTGTTTCTCATTCATGTTTATCCAAATGTCTTTCAAACTTTGTAACTGTACGTGCATCCACCACTTCCTCTCAAAGTTCATTTCACACACAAACCACGTTTTTTTTTAAACCTTTCTCCTCTCACCTTTTAAAAATATGTCCTCTAGTCTTAAAATCCCCCACCCAAGGGGAATGACACCTGCCATTCACCTTATCTATACCCCTCATCTTTTAAACCTCAATAAGGTCACCCCTCAACCTCCTACGCTCCAGGGGAAAAAAGTTTCAGCTTTTCCAACCTCCTTATGACTCAAATACTCCATTCCTGGCAGCATCCTTGGTAAATCTCTTCTGAACCCTCTCCAGATTAATAATAGCCTTCCTATAATAGGGAGACCAGAACTAGACATCCTACTCCAGAATAGCCTCACCAATGCCCTCTACAACCTCCACATGATGTCCCAACACCTATACTCAAAGGTCTGAGCAATGACGGCCTAATAATGCCTAATAATGGATTTAAAGTCAATTAGTAGAAGAATCTGAAAAAGGTCATTGAGAATTTCAGTTCACCCAGCAGGTTCCCTAAAAGTGACAGAGGCAGAAATCCTGGCCCTGTTTCTGAACAAACACCCTTTGGGCTTATGCAGTATCAAGTACCCTGCAGGGCTGCAAACGATGAGCTGAAAAGTAGGATTAGGCTGGGTAGCTTTTTGCTAAAGTGGGCGCGCAGTAGGTTGCATAGCATTCTCCTTATTTCCATGCTGTTTACATAAATAGCCTCCTGCTGAGGCAATTGCTCTGGATTCATTAAAGAGGCATTTACAGGCAATGCAATTCATAATTGCTGCCTTAGGAGCAGTGGTTGAGTAGGTTGGGCCCATGTTTGTTGGAATACAGCAGAATGAGAGGTGGCCTTATTGAAACATTCGAGATTCTTAAAGGAACTTAGGGTAGATGTAGAAAGATTGTTTCCCTCTTGTGGGAGAGTCTAGGACACAAGGGCATAGTCTCAGGATAAGATGCAAGACAGATGAGGAATTTCTTCTACCAGAGGATAGTGAATCTATGGAATTCCTTACTGCAGCGGGCTGTCGAGGCTGGGTCATTAAGTATGTCCAAGTCTGATAGATTTGTAATCAAGAGCAGGAACATGAGTTATGGGGAAAAGGCAGAAAAATGGAGTTGACTATCAGATCAACCATGATCTCATAGAATGGCCTCCTTCTGCTCCTGTATCTATTGGTTTCTACAGAAAGATAGTTTAGGTCTAATCTAATTTGGTGTCAGTAAACGTGCTGTGATATGAGTGGTCTTTTTTATGCTGATACATCAGAGGTATTCTCTTCTTGTACCTATGGAAATCTGTTAGCCCAGGATCCCACCATATTTCCCCAATCTAATAGGTAGTTTGCTATAAGCTACTGTCTCAAAAAAAAAACTGAAGCAGTTTCAGATCTTGCAGTTTCAGATCTTGCTGTTTCATCGAGTTAACTCCCTGTTAGCCAGTATGCATCCAGAATTTCCATGCAACAGGCAAAAGTTTCAAAGAAAATGTGGCATTTTTATAAATTTCTTCAAAAGTATCTATTGGAGATGCAAGAGTAAATTGTACTGCACTTTGGATATTTAGTTTGGCCATTGGGCCCATTTTTGCCTGTACTGCCTCTTCAAATGAACATTGTTATCCAATGACAATGTCTTGCTTTTTCCCTGAAAAAACTCCAAGGAGGCAGGTATTCTGTCACCAAGTTGCCTTTTATTTTACCTGTGCACAGTCTGACCAACCTGCTCTGAGCCAGCCCCTAGAATGAGGAGACTCTCTGAATCTCCTATTTATATCTGTAAGCTAGGGCTCCCTGATTAGCCCAGGTTAACAGCCCCAATCAAGGATCTCATAGTCAATGACATCCACTTGACCTGGTTCCAATCACTACCTCCCCCCATACCCTCTCACATTATTTTTATCTAAATAGCCATCCAATGTCCTCCTGAATGTCTCATTTGAACCTGTCTCCACCACATTTCCAGACTGTGTTTCATGACTCGATGTGTGAAAAAGTTTTCCTCCTATCACCCTTGTTTCACTTGTAAATCACTTTTTAAATCTGCGCCCTCTTGAT